CAGAGAACCTTCTGCCTCTCTCTGCTTCCCAAGTGCTGGGATTAAAGGCATGTGCCACTGTACCCAGTTTTCATTTATTTATTTATTTAAACCACTGCAATCAAGCTGCCTATACAGTATCATCCAGGTCTCAGCAGCTGGCCAGAAGCCATCTCTGCATCCATGTTTTATACTCTGAAGATGAGACACTCTAATAATCAACAACAGCTAAAAATATAACAATATAGCAATTGAGATATATCCTATGAAAGAGCTGCATAACAGAGATGAGCGTGACCTAGGGGTTTTTGTTGTTATTTTGTTTTTTGTCTTTTGAGGAGTAGGCAGGACAACCAGGATTTCCTTGACTTTCTTGGATGGCAAGTCAACGGCACATGTGGTTCCGTGGTTCCTTCTAACTATACCAGCCTCTCCACAACAGAACTCTCTTAAATTAATTCCTCGGGTCTCCATTTGAAAGAAGGATCCTTTCCAAAGCCACCACTGACTATCATACTCCATGATGCCACCATGTCTTTCTTAGCACATTTTAAGTATGCTAAACCTTTCACACCTAAAAACTACTCTATATTCACAAACATATAAAAAGGTAGGGACCACACCTATTTCACAATCTGTGATATTCCCAATGCAAACACAGTCAAATGGCAGAAACACTGTTAGATGAATGGAAGGTCAGGACTGTCTTAGGCCTTACGTATCAGCATTACAAGAGTTCTTGAAAGAAAACAACTCTCAGGCTCAACTCCAAACTTAATGAATCAAACTCTAGAGGCACGGAGCCCAACAAAGCCTTCCTGATTCACAGTAAACTCTGAGAATCGCTGCCTTAAATATCTCAAGTATCCAATGCATCATAACAAACATTTGGAAATATATACTACAAAGCTTTCTAATAACCATTCAATTATTTACTAAAAATTTATTAAACACACTGTGCAAGGAAAACAAAAAGTAGCCCCTACTAGTAATTTCCGGCTCCCAATAGGCCAGTACTTTCCTTCTTCACCCTCCCATACACTCTTACTGTGCATACATATTTGAACAAGCAAGAACAACACAAGTCAGTTGAACATGAAGTTTAAAGCACAATAAAGCTGGCCAGGCAGTTGTGGAACATGTTTTTAATCTCAGCACTCAGGAGGTAGAGACAGGCAGATCTCTGTGAGTCTGACACCAATTTGGTCTACAGAGCGAGTTCCAGGACAGGATCCAAAGTTAGAGAAACCCTGTCTCGAAAAACAAAACAAAACAACAAAAAACCCAATAACGCCCAAGTATCTGCTGTGGTTTGATTGTATTTCCCCCAAATGCTTATGATGAGTGTCTTACGATTCTAGCCTACAAGATGGTGCCTTCAGAAAGTGATTAGATCAGCTAGGCAGAACCCTCTGAATGAGACTAGTGCCCTTATTTAAAAGAAGCCCCAGGGAGCAGCCTTGCTTATCCAACAAGTACAGGGAAAACATGCGTCTATGAACCAGTGCAAAAATTCCCACTAGACACTGGGTATGGTGGTGCATGCCAGCACTCAGGTGGCTGTGGCAGGCAGACACCCTCCAGGTGGAAGCCAGCCAGAACTACATGGCAAGCCAGATAGCAAGGCTGCTCAAATAAGGATGCCGGGTGTATGTCTTTAACCCCAGCAGAGGTAGGCGGATCTCTGAGTTCGAAGCTAGCCTTGTAAACTGAGCTACTTCCAAGACAGCCAGGGCTACACAGAGAAATCCTGCCTCGAAAAATAAAATATACAAAACATATTTAACAAGGGGGGAGGAGTGGGATGCAACTCAGGATACAGCTCAGATGACAGAGTTCTTATCTGGCATGCACAAGGGTCTGGGTTCAACAAGGCTAGACACACACCTAAAATCTCAGCACCAGGGAAGCTGAGGCAGGTGGCTCGGGAGCTCAAGATTATCCTCCACTACACAGGGCCACACTGAGGCTTTGCTGTAGGGAGTGGTAAAAGAAAGGGCTGGGCAAATAGCGGTCGTATAAATGCTGTCCTGGAAAGGAGGACCTGAACTCAGATCCTCAGCACCCATATAAAAGCTGGGCATGGGGGCTGGAGAGATGGCTCAGAGGTTAAGAGCACTGCCTGCGCTTCCAAAGGTCCTGAGTTCAATTCCCAGCAACCACATGGTGGCTCACACCATCTGTAATGAGGTCTGGTGCCCTCTTCTGGCCTGCAGACACACACACAGACAGAATATTGTATACATAATAAATAAATAAATATTTTTTTAAAAAAAAAGCTGGGGTGGAGAGATGGCTCAGAGGTTAAGAGCATTGCCTGCTCTTCCAGAGGTCCTGAGTTCAATTCCCAGCAACCACATGGTGGCTTACAACCATCTGTAATGGGGTTTGGTGCCCTCTTCTGGCCTGCAGGCATACACACAGACAGAATATTGTATACATACATAATAAATAAATAAATATTTAAAAAAAAAAAAAGCTGGGCATGGCGATGTGTGCCCGGAACCCTGGCACTGGGAGGCAGAGACAGGCACATCTCTGAAGCTCACTGGCCAACCAGCCTAGACAAACGGACAAGCTTCAGTTTCAGTAAGGGATCCTGTCTCAAAACATTAAATAAATAAGAGGATTAGGGAGAGAGCTCACAGTGAAGAACACTTGTTGCTCTTTCAAAAAACCAGGGTTCAATTCATTCTTACAATCATGTATAATTCCAGTTCCAGGGGCTCTGACACCCTTTTCTGACCTCCAGGCACACAAGCAGTACGTATCATACACACAGGCATTTTGCATATTAAAAATCTCAAAGAAATTTTAATTAAAAAAAGCAACTCTGGCCTACACACACACATACATTCATATATACATACGCATGTACATGAGCACTTACACACGCATGCACCCACACTATACACATGTTAACACACACACACACACACACACAAGAAAACACCTTTCAGACAACGAGTGTATTGGCACCTGTTCCTGGATATCCTATACTTTAAAACTCTTACATTTTTCTGTAAGTTTGCCAGCTGATATTTTGTTATAGCACCCTAACTGGACTAAGACAGGATCTTTCTCACCTCATTTCCTATACACATCCTTCCTCCTTCCAGGCAGTAAACAGGAAACCCTTTACTACAAATCTTTTCTTTTTTTTTTTCCCCAGAGACAGGATTTCTCTGTGTAGCCCAGGCTGGCCTTGAACTCACAGAGTTCTGCCTGCCTCTGCCTCCCTAGTGCTGGGACTAAATGCATGTGCCACCATACCTGGCTTTCACAACACATCTTAAATTTCGTTCATCCTTCTACTCAAATTTATAATGAAGCTTTCTCCTTCATTCCCAAATATTGCATATACATTCTATACATGTTTCAGGCCCAGCTCAAATGACTCTTTTGAATCCCAGTGGGAAGGCCCACATTTCCAAAAGTCTAGCAGTCTGTATCTTCTCCAGCAAAATGGCTCTTTGGTCTGTCACTATCACGACAGCCCACTATCTTCCTTTTCACACCGAAAGCAAGATGCTTCAGTCTGTTAGGTGCCTCCAATTTCAGTGTGAGACTGTGCTTGTCAGCTGGGGAATAAGACCAATAATCGAATCATTCAAGTGTCTACCTGATCTGGGCCCTGGAAATAAAGGGAATTAAGTAAGGCACAGTTGTTTCCGAAATCTAGATTCTACGGGAAGGAACAGATTAGCACACAATGACAGCAATGTCACTGGAGAATGACAATGTATGAATGGCAATCAAGGGAGCTAGGGAATGTTTATAATGTTTATATGTTAAACGACCAGACAGTAAATGACTTTCCTAAAAATTAGATGGAGAAATAAAGAAACGAGGAAACTATGATTAGCCTGAATCCTTTTCAGTAGAATGTATTATTCCTTTGACTAGAAGGTAGATCAAAATTTAGCTTACTGTATATGACAGAACAATGTTTTCAATATATATACTGTAAAACACGGGTAACTCATCTCACTTACAAAGGGCTGTAGCCACAGCCATTTTGAAGCAGAAAGAAAATGTGCAAAGGAAAGGTCCCTCCAAGAAAGGGCGGAAAGGGCAAAACAAACGCACCTTTAGAAAAGGAATTCAGAAGACTGTCACAATCTGACTGCCAAGGTGATGTTCAGACCTCAAACGCCCTTGTCTCTGCCTCCCAACAAAAACATATCATTTGTTCTGAGCAATAAATGTCATGTTTGCAAATTTAAAAAGGCTTTTAAATTCCGGAACTGTAACTCCACATGCAAACACACTTGAAACAAAAATTTTCAAAACCTTTTTAGATATATCTGTCAAAAGGCCAGATGATCACATACGGACACAATATGTTCTCTGTAACACACTATCACTCAATTTTTTGCAATGACACTGGGTAGTAAAGCTTCCAGGCTATTTCTCCATACCTCCCATCTCCCCCCTTCCGCCCTCCAAAACAGAAAAGGGAAAGGTAGGCTTCGAATCTGTACGTGCCCGCCCAACAGCTCCCGGGAAGCAATCGCCTTCAAATTGTTCCTGCTTAGCCCCCTGAAGTCTGAAGAAGGAAAAAGGGACAGATGTGCGAGCCGGCGACGGGGGACATCCGACAAGGGGCAGAGGAAATGCGGATGGTCGAAGACCAAGGGGAAGAGGGGGCGACGGAGATAAAATGGTGAAGGGGAAAGGGGGACGAGGAGGGAAAGCAAGCAAATGCGGGAACGAAAAACAGGGAGAAAAGGGGGGGAGCTAACGATTACAGAGGAGAAAGGGAGAATGGTTGAGGAGAAAAGGGAAGGGTTAAGGACGGGGGTTGGGGGAATGGAGAACGCGAAGGAGGCTGTCACGGGGGGACAAAAGGGTGTCACCGGAGAGGAGGGAGATTAAAGGGATTCGCTCCTGCTGGATGGGGAACGACGGGCCGGAGAAGGCGGAGACCGGAGTGCGGGAAGAAGGGTGAGGAGGCTAGGCTGCCTGGTATCCTCGGGCCACCCGGGGATTGTGGGGGTAGGCAGGCCGCGCTAGCTCACCATGGCTGCGTGGGCCTGGTCCTCCGGCATGCAGTCTCGGTCCTGCGTGCGGCGGCGGGCCGAGCCCGAGCCCACCCCTAAGATCAGCCGGCGAGGGGGCTCCAGGAGGCTCGGGTCGGGCAGCGGCTCCGGGCTGGGCCCAGGCCTCGGCCTCGCTCTTCTGAAGTACACCACTCCAGCCGCAGCCGCAGCCGCAGCCTGACCGAAACACAGACTCCGCCTCGCTCGCCGTGCCCGCCGCGCCCCGCCCCCACGAGGACCCGCCCCTCTCCCCGTGCCCGCCCCGCCCCTCTCCCTGTGTCCGCCCCGCCCCCACGAGGACCCGCCCCTCTCCCCGTGCCCGCCGCGCCCCGCCCCACGAGGTTCCGCCCCTCTTCGTCCCGCCCCCTCGAGACTCCGCCCCGTCCTAGCAAAGACTCCCTTCTCAAAGCGTTGACTCCTTTAAAGCTCTTCTGACAGGCAGAGCTTTAAACCCGGAGACTGCAGTGCTGGCCCATAGCTCACGCTCATATTTTAAATTTAGCTTCTGATTCCCGGTCATTAATTATCGTTGTCATCGTTCTTGGTGATTTCAGCGTTCTGTTACATGATTTTATTTTGCTTTGTTGTTTGCTTTGCTTTGTTTGTTTTCTGAGAGAGCGTCTCTCTACATAGCCTGGCTGTCCTGAAATTCATTATGAAGACCAGTCTGGCTTGGGACTCACAGAGATCCTCCTGACTCTGCCTCCTGAATGCTGGGATTAAAGACCATACCCCACCACACTCGGTGAATGATTTTTTTCCCAAATACATTTTTTCTTTTTTTGAGACAAGCTATGTAACCCTGGCTGGCTTAGAACTCACCTTGTAGACAGGGCTAGCCAGGAACTTTAGAGAGATTCACCTGCCTCTGCCTCCTGAGTGCTGGGATTAAAGATGTGCACCACCACCACTGCCCAGCTCAAATACTTATAAACGAAATTATAGTTATTTATTTTGTGTGTATTTGGGTGTGTATGGGACATGAGTACCTGTAGATGTTAGAAGACTTCCAGTTGAGCGAGTTGGTTCTTTTCCACCGTGTTGGTCTTGAGAATTGAACTCAGATAATCATTTTCGGAGGCAACCACTACATCATCTGACCAGTTCTAAGTCATTTAGTATTTTTAAATTTTATTTTATGAGTATGGGTGTTTTGCCTGCATATATCTCTGCATGCCACTTGTGGGTTGGTGCCCTTTAGGCCAGAAAAGGGAAGCAGAGCCCTGAAGCTACAGCTGCTGTGTGGGAACGGGAATCGCACCATTGTGTGCTGGAAGAGCAGCCCGTGCTCTCCGTGGCTGAACTCTCTCTCCAACCAAAGATGTTGGATTTTTGTGGTGCTCCGGCCTTTCTGGCTCCTCTACTCTGGGGATCACCCTTGTTCTTGCCTCTCATTGCCACATTTCTTACTACCAATGACTGTGATCTCTCGAAAAGTCCATTAATATTTTTTATTTATGTATGCATTTATTGTGATGCTGAGGATGAGCCTAGGGCCTCTAAAATATCAGACAAGTGCTCTTTCTGCCTGAGTCCCATCCTCTGGCCCCACAATCTCAGTTTTGCCTGCCTTCTTCTCCTTAGCCTCCTGTCTTTCTAGCTCACTCTCCAATACTCCAACTATCAACTCATTCAGGACCCGAAAGCCACTGGCCCACTTCTTTCATTATTTCCTCGCACTGCTTTCAGTATCTCGTTTCAAAAATTCATTTAGTGTCTGTTGCCCATGATGAAAACGTGGCCAGCATTCCCTTTCTTTCTGCATCCCTTCTCTCTCCTTTATACTATTGAAAAGCTCCAGGCACTGCAAAATGGCTCACAGTTAAGACCACTGACTGCTCTTTCCGAGGACCCGGCTTCAGTTCTTAGCACCCACGTGGCAGCTCACTACCAGGGATAACTACAGTTCCAGGGGATCTGATACCCTCTTCTGGCCTCTGAGGGCACCAGGCACACACATGGTACATACATATATATGCAGGCAAAATACCCATGCACACATAGAAGAAATAATAATTTTTTTAACCTGTCAGTGGTGGCATAAACCTTTAATCCCAGTCCTCAGGATGCAGATCTCTGTTAGTTCAAGGCTAGCCTGATCTACAGAGCTAGTTCCAAGACAGTCAGGACTAAACAGAGAAACCCTGTCTCAAAAAAACAAACACAGAACAAAACAAAAGATCCTGTATCCAACTAAAAATTTGTAAAAAAGGACTTGGGGTGTAACTCCAGTTTTTTTCTTCAGGGTAGACCTATATTTTTGTAAATTAGAATAAAAAGAAATTGTCAGAAAAAATAATTTGGGGTTTTGTTTTTGAGATAGGGTTTCTCTGTGTGTAGCTCTGACTGTCCTGGAACTCATTCTGTAGACCAGGCTGGCCTCAAACTCACAGAGATCTGCCCGCCTCTGCCTCCCAAGTGCTGGAATTAACCACCCGGTTAGAAAAATAAAAATTTAAAAACAGGTAAACTGACTGGAGAGATGGCTTAGTGATTGTGATTGCTCTTTCAGAGGCTCTGAGTACAACTCCCAACACACATAACAGCTCACAACTGTCTGTAATTCCGGTTCCAGGGTATCTGACACCCTTACACAGACATACATGTAGCCAAAACATCAATGGATGTAAAATAAACATAAATTTAAAAAAATAATAAAAATAAAAACAGGGATACCAAGTATAAACTCTGTGTGTGTGTGTGTGTGTGTGTGTGCGCGCGTGTGTGAGCGTGCATGTTTTCTTCTTACCCATCTTACCCACTTTCAAGTGTACGGTTCAGGTAGCATTAAGTACCACTGTAACCATCACCAATCATGCAGCTCCAGATCGGCCACTTGTTTGTTTGCTTTCATTTTGTAGTACTGAGAATTAACCCCAGGGCTTTGCACGTACCGTGCAAGAGTCCTCGTCTTGGGCAACATCCTCAGCTGCTCGGAAGTCTTCTGCTCTTACAAAACTGCATGTCTGTGCTCATTAAATAGTAACTCCCCATTCTCTCTCACCAGCCCTTGGCAAGCACTAGGCTACCTTTCTGTTGAGTTGTCGTAGCACTGAATATTAACTTGATGGCCTCACACAGGCTGTGCAAACTCTCTACCACTGAGCCACACCCTAAAGCTAGCATAGTCCTGTTTTTTAATCTCTGTGATTTTGATCATTCTAGGTCAGAGGTGTGCATTTGTGTATGTGTATGGCTAGGGATTGAGCCTATGGCCTCCAGCAGGTCAGGCATGCTAGGCAAGTGCCCTACCACTGAACTGTATGACCACTCAGACGATGATGATGATTTGTTTTGCTTTTTGTTTTGTTGAGACAGGGTCTTATTATGTAGCCCTGGCTGGCCTGTAGCTCATTAGAAAAATCAAACTGGCCTTCAACTCACAAAGATCTGTTTAATTCTGCATCAAAAGTGCTGGAATTAAAATTGTGTATCATCACACTTTGTTCTTCTTATTAAAAAATGGAATTGGGGTCCAGGAAGTGGCCGTGCACACCTTTAATACCAGCACTCAGGAGGCAGAGCCAGGTGGATCTCTGTGAGTTCCAGGCCAGCCTGCTCTATACAATGAGATCTAGACTAGATGGGGCTACACAGTAAGATCTTGTCCGAAAACAATAACAAAAAAATGAGGCTAAAGTTGATGTGTAGTCAATGAAACCAATTAGAAAGTCCAAAAATATATCCAATATACATGGAAATATAACATGATCAAGACATAATACCAATCGAGGCCAGCCTGTTCTACAAAGCAAGTCCCAGGACAGCCAGGGATGTTAAACAGAGAAACCCTGTTTTGAAAAATAAACGAACCAAAAAGATATAATACCAAATCAGTAAGAAAAGGGTGGGACTATATATGGGGTTGGGATAACTAGTCAACTATCTAGTAATGGTTAACATGAATCTACACAACATGCTACTCAGCAAGATAAACTGAAATGTAAAGAAAAAAGCAACAAAGACACTGGGAGAATTTTGTTTCATTTTGTTTTTGTCTTTCGAGACAGGGTTTCTTTGTGTAAGAGAAATTTTTTATACTCTAAAAAGGAGGAAAGTATTTTTAAATGCAAAACAAAACCTAATTCCATTAAAGAGGGGCTGGGAAGATGGTTCCAGGGTTAAAAGCTTAGACTGCTTTTAACCAGAGAATTTGCCTGTCCAGCACTGTCTATATCCCCAGCTCCAGGGAATCTGATGCCTCCAGCTTCAAAGGGAACCCACATGCACATAGTTAAAAATAAAATAAATCTTTTTCTTAATGCGATAAAGAAAAATCGATACATTTAGTATTGATGTTGGGTTTCACCAGAGACGACTGCTCCGACATGGGTTTAAGCCAATAGATAGTCTTTATTTGATGGCCGGCAATCACTGCATGGTGGTGGCGCTCACCTTCAATCCCAGCACTCGGGAGAGAGAAATAGGTGAATCTCAGTGAGTTAGAGGCCAGCCTGATCTCCAGAGAGAGTTTCAGGACAGGCTTCAAAGCTGTAGAGAAACCCTGTCTCAAAAAACAAAACAAAGCAAAACAAAGCCAAAAGATGGCTGGCAACTACACTGGGTGCTTGGGATCCTTTCTCGGGGTAAACTTGTAAGGACTAAAACCGTGTCCTGGGTTGACATGCTTCAGTTAACAAGAACAGTCAGCCAGACACAGAACTACAGAAACTGTAAAGCAAGGTAAATACTGTTGCAGAATATTTGTTTACACTGTAAAGGTGTGTCACTGCCTAACGTGCCTTCTGATTGGTCCAATAAAGAGTTAAATGGCCAATAGCTAGGAGGAGATGAGATGATAGACAGAACTTTCATGCAGAGAGAGAGAGAGAGAGAGAGAGAGAGAGAGAGAGAGAGAAACTGGGAGAGGAATCTAGGCACAGGAGTTTGCCAGCAGATACAGAACAAGTTGGATGTGCCATACTAAGAGGTAACCAAGCAACATGGCAGAATATAGATTCAAAAAATAATGGTTAATTAAGTTATAAGAGCTAGTTGGGGAAAAGTGTAAGCTCAGGCCATTCTTTCATAATTAATAATAAGCCTCTGGGTCATTAGTGGCAGGCTGGCAGCCCAAAGATAGTCTATAGTAGTATATTATTTGTGTTTTAGTAAGTGAAGTTTGCCTGAAGATCATAGGGCAAAGCAGTCATATTAGTCAGCCATACAGGATAGGGAGTGGTGGCACACACCTTTAACACAGCACTAGG